AACTGCCCCTTCCTGCATCCCAAAGGGATAATCCCAGAGGGATCATCCCATTCCCAACATCCCGGAACTGCCTCTTCCCGCATCCCAGAGTCTTTTTTTTTTTTGCGATGTTTCGCCTGGGAAACTTCACGAGCCCCAAAATTCCCTATTTTTGCCGTTATTATTGAACTCCTCGGTCCGCAGTCGCCTCTCTCTCGTGCTCCCGCACATTCCCGCTTTTCCCGTGGTGCCGGAGTGTTCCAGCCCCGCATCCCRGGTTCGCGTCCTTCCCATCCACCGCCGTGCCCGCGGGCCGGAGGGGAGAATTCCCTGGAGCCCTTCCAGAGGACGCGGGGTTGTTTTCCACGCCAGGATCCCGCCGTTCCCCCGTTTAATGTTTCACCTTCCCTTTAACCCCTTCGTGCCGGGCTCCATCGCGATCCTTCCCCGCATTCCCGAGGGACGGACGCCAAGGACGGGGGCTGGGCAGCTCTCCCCCCGCTCCTGCACTCTCCAAGATTAATTTTGGGAGCATTTGGGAGATTAAAAACGCCCGGGGACATCCCGTGCTCGTCCTGCCAGGAAGGACAGCGGGGCTGGGARCAGGGAATGACTCTGGGATGAGGAAGAACGAGCGAGAAAGGGCAAATCCAAACCGATCCTCATTCCCCACGGGTTCAGTTCGTTCTCTGCTCCAAAATCCTGGAGGTTTGGTTTGTTCCCAAATCCTGAGGGTTTGGTTTGTTCCCAAATCCCGAGGGTTTTGTTCATTCCCAGATCCCAAGGGTTTGGTTCATTCCCAAATCCTGAAGTTTTGGTTCAGTCTCAAATCCTGAGGATTTGATTCATTCCCAAATCCCAGGGGTTTGTTTCATCCCCAGATCCCAAGGGTTTGGTTCATTCCCAGATCCCAAGGGTTTGGTTCATTCCCTGCTCCCAATTCCAAGAGTTTGGTAATTCCCAAATCCTGAAGGTTTGGTTCGTTCTCTGCTCCCAAACCCGAGGGTGCTTTGCGTGGCACCTCCCTCGGGATCCTAACTCCCTTGGCAATTCGATCTCCCTGCGATCCCACCTTCCTGGGGATCCTAACTTTCTTGGGGCCGGTCTTCACTGGGGATCCCGACCTCCCTTGGGATCTGATTTCCCTGGGATCCGATCTCCCTTGGGGATCCCACCTTCCTTGAGATCCTACATCTCTTGGGATCCCACCTTCCTTGGGATTTGACCTCCCTAGGATCTGACCTTCCCTGGGGATCTGACCTTCCTGGGGACCCGACCTCCTTTGGGGACCTGAACTCTCTTGGGACTTGATCTTCCCGGGGATCCAATCTCCCATGGGGACCAGGCATTCCCTTGAGATCCCACCTCCCCATGGATCTGACCTCCCTTGGGAATCCCACCTCCCTGGGGACCCCAACCTCCCCTGAGATGCCACATCCTTTGGGATCCCAACTTCCTTGGGATTTGACCTCCCTAGGATCTGACCTTCCTGGGGACCGAACCTCCCTTAGGAATCAATCTTCCCACGGATCCAATCTCCCTTGGGGACCTGACATTCCCTTGAGATCCCACATCCCTTGGGATTCCACCTCCCTTGGGAACCCCACCTCCCTGGGGACCTGACCTCCCCTGAGATGCCACATCCCCTGGCAATTCCACCTTCCTTAGGATTTGAACTCCCTGGGATCCGATCTCCCTGGGGACCCCACCTCCCTTGGGATGCCACATCCTTTGGAATCCCACCTCCCTGGGATCTGACCTTCCTGGGGACCCAACCTCCCTTAGGACTCAATCTTCCCACGGATCCAATCTCCCTCGGGGACCTGATATTCCCTTAGGATCCCACATCCCTTGGGATTCCACCTCCCTGGGATTCRACCTTCCTTGGTGATCCCGACCTCTCTTGGCCAATCCCACCTGCCTGGGGTCCCATCTCCTTTGGGGACCTGACATTCCCTTGAGAATCCCACATTCCCTTGAGATCCCACCTCCCTTGGGACTCGACATCCCTGGAATCCGATGTCCTTTAGGATCCCACCTCCCTACCCAGCTCCTCCGCCCCAAAAGGCTCCACCCGTGTCCGGGTCGATATTCACCACCCGGAGCCTAAATCAGGTCCTTAATCAGGTCCTTAATTAAGTCCYAACCCCTCCCCGGACAGCTGGAGCCCGCGCAGATCCGGGATCCGCCGCCATCTAAACAAACACGCCCCTGTTTGAACACCCCTGAGCAAACGAGCCCGCCCGGCCCCTCCCGGCTCTTCCCGCTGCCATTCTTGGCCGTGTCCCAAGGTTTGATCTCTTCCTCCAGCCCGGGGAGGGCGAAGATGCGGAGTCCACGGAGGGTTTGGGTTGAGCAGCCCCGCCCTCACGGCTCGGAGATGCGGGGGCTCCTTCTCCGACCAGGAGCTCTTTCTCCACCCGGGGGTTCCTTCCTCGGGCCGGGAGCTCCTCCGGCCGAGTGTTCCTTCTCCATCTGGGGGTTCCTTCTCCATCCAGAGATTCCTTCTCCGGTTGGGGGCTCCTTCTCCGTCCGGGAGCGTTTTCTCTGGCTGGGAGCCCCTCCTCTACCTGCCCGCAGGCTTCTTCACCATCTGGGACTCCTTCCCCGGCCGACCGATGGTTTCTTCTCCACCTGGCCGGGGGTTCCTTCTCCAGCCAGMGTTTCCTTCTCCATCCGGAGGCTCCTTCCTCTGGCTGGGGGCTCTTTCTCCATCTGCGGGCTGCTTCTCTGGCCGGGGACTCCTCCTCCACCCGGCCGGGGGCTGCTTCTCCCCCTGGCTGGTGTTTCCTCCTCCATCTTGGGGCTCCTTCTCGGGGCAGCACCGCTCCTTGAGGACCCCTCAGAGCCGCGGCGGCTCCGCCCGCCCSTCCGGCAGCACCAGCACCGCGGGCAGGAGGCTCCCGTGCGGCGCCGGGAAGGGCCGCAGCTCCCGGCTCCCGAAGCGCGGCGAGACGGGGTCGGCCAGGAAGCGCAGGTGGAACCCGCGGCCCAGGCAGTGGACGAGGCCGCCCAGGGCGGCGCAGCGGAGCCCGGCCGGGTCGGGCAGGGGGCGGCTGGCGCAGCGGTACCACAGCCGGGCGCTGGCGCTGCAGCGCGACACGGTGACATCGGCGGCCCCGGCGGCGCCGCGCCGCAGCTGGAAGCGGTACAGGAAGCCGTGAGCGCTCACCAGCTCGGCAGTCCCGTCCTCGTCGCCGAGGGCCGGCCCGGTGGCCCAGCTGTCCCCGCGGGCGTCGTAGCGCAGCAGCAGCGAGCGCAGGGTGCCCCCGGTCACGTAGATGTCCCCGGCGCACGCGGCGGCCGCGTGGGCCACGGCGAAGGTGTCCCCGGGCAGYGGMGMYGCCGGGGTCCAGAGRTCCCGCCGGGGGTCGTAGCGCTCCACCGTGGCCAAGCACTCGCCGCCGATGGCGTAGAGGTGGCCGTCCAGGGCCACCAGCCGGCAGCGCGGCCGCGCCTGGCGCAGGGGACAGATGTCGCTCCAGGTATCGGCCATGGGGTCGTAGCAGAGCACGCGGCGGGAGGGGCTGGGCTGTCCGGCCGCGCCCTCCCAGCCGGCCGCCACGAACAGGTAATTGAACATGCTGCACATGGCGCAGCCCCGCCACGCCACCTCGGCCGGGATGTGGCTCAGGTGGCACCAGCGGTCCCCGTCCTCGTCGTAGTAGCAGAGGCGGCCGCGGTGGTGGCCGGGCTCGGCCGGGGGAACGTCGGCCACCACCAGGCGGGGCCKCCCGCGCGTCCTGCGCCGCAGGAGCAGCTCCCGCTCGCCGGCGTTGAGGCGGCCGTAGATGTCCGGGGAGCGCAGCACCTGCAGGTAGTGGTCACTCATCACCTGCAGGGCCGCGTCCTGCTGGGCCCGCAGCTGCCGCGCCTTGGCCGAGCGCAGGACCTCGTAGCAGTTCCCCAGGTGCACCTCGGCCCGTGGCGACGGGTCAGGATCCGGAGCTGGAGCAGGTGGTGACACTCGGGACGGGTCAGGATCCGGAGCTGGGGCGGGTGGTGACACTCGGGATGGATCAGGATCGGAAACCGAGGTGAGTGGTGGCACTCGGAATGGGTCAGGATCGGGAACCGAGGTGGATGGTGGCACTCGGGGTGGGTCAGGACCCATAGCTGGCGCGGCTGGTGGCACTTGGGACGGGTCAGAACCTGCAGGTGGTGGCACTCGGGACGGGTCAGGATCAGGAACCGAGGTGGGTGGTGGCACTCGGGATGGGTCAGGACCCGCAGCCGGGACCCCAGCGCCCTCCGTGGGCAGCGGGATCTGCGGGCTCCCGGCGATCCCGGGAGAAGGCGGCTCGGGAGGGCTGTCCCAGCCCCTCGCGGGCGGCGGAGCTGCCCTGGAGGTGTCGGGATCGGGAATTTCCAAAGCTGGATTCTGCGTTCCGGAGCTCCGCGGCTCTCCCTGGCCCCGCTCTGCGCCGCTCCGGGACGTTCCCGCAGGGATGAAGGGCAGGGCTGTCCGYTTGGACACCGCCTCGGACACGGACTGCACGAAGTAGTCGTAGACTTTGCCGCGGAGGCCGGGCCCGCGCGGGCTGTCACTGTCCCTGTCGCTGTCCCTGTCCCTGTCGCGGCGCTCCCGGATGAAGTTCTCCTCCACCTGGATCTTGGCCACCGAGGAGAAGGAGTAGGCGGAGTCCGAGCCCGCCCCGCTGGCCCGCAGCAGCAGCCCCAGGCTGGAGGTGACGCTGAGGGTCTGCACTGTCCCCCTGCKGCCCTCGGCCTCCCCGCTCCCGCCTCGGCCGGCCGGCTCCGTGTCCGTGCTCTGGGCGCACCCGTCCCCCGCCGTCCGGGCAGCGAGAATCCCCGCGGAACTCCCGGAGCTCGGGCCAGGCGCGTCCTTCTCCTCGGGGCAGCTCCGGGATCCGGCCGCGGCCCCGGGGGCGTGACAGCCCGGCAAAATTCCCAGCTCGTTTCCCGGCAAAATTCCCGGCTCACTTCCCAGCTCGCTTCCTGGTTTGCTTCCCGGATCAATTCCCAGCTGGATTCCTGGCTTGCTTCCTGRCTTAATTCCCAGTTTACTTCCCAGCTTGTTTCGCAGCTCAGTTCCCGGCTCGCTTCCCGACCCATTCCCCACCTCGGTTCCCAATTTGCTCCCTGGATTATTTCCCGATTTGATTCCCAGCCTGCTTCCTGATTTACTTCCCGATTTGTCCCCCGGCCCCATTCCCACTTCGCTTCCCGGCTGATTTCCCAGCTCGCTCCCCATCTTTCTCCCGGGATCGCCCCCCAGCTCGATTCCCGCTTTCCTTTCTGGTTTAACTCCCAACTTCCACCCGAGTTTCCTTCCCGGCTCATTTCCCACCTCGCTCTCCCTCCCGGCCGGACCCAGCGGGGCTTTC